TTTTTTTTTTTTTTTTTTTTTTTTTTTTTTTTAAATCAAACCTCCTTTTACACATTCACCATTTTTTTATTATCTCTCTGTTCTAGCCTATACTATTCTGGACAATGCTTCATTAAGATGAATCTGTTGTTTTCCTCAGTTGTAAGCTACTTTGGATAAAAGTGTCTTCTAAAAGAATAAATGTGACGTAAATTTAACTTTAGCATAGAAGTTGCATCTGTAGGGCACAACCCTGGGTTAACGTCTTTTTCAAACGTTTATCCCTAGGCTTCAAACTTGTAATTTGGAAAAGCTTAGTAAATTAGAGTGAAAGAGGAGTGTAGTGTGACCTCATAAATATGTAAATAAGAATGTTAACCCAGGGTTTACAAATATACAGTGTGAAATCATGAAACATGACTACCCAGGATAAATTAACATTTACCATGGGTTAAGAATGACCCTTGATTAACAATTTAATGTGTGAAAATCACATTTAAATACATGAAATTAGTTAGAATTAGTTTTGAGGCTTTTAGTCCATGTGTGTCAGCTTTGAGGTCAACTCCTAAATGTTGATGTAAATACACTTTTAGCAGGGATGTGCATTTAAAATGTAAAAAATTTTCTTATATTAAATATAGTGTATTGTTCTGTTTTTAAGATTTTGTATCAAATTAACAGTAGTTCAAAATATAAAAATGTGATCTGCATTGTTATTCATATACTGGTATGTCCTATTGGGATTGGGTTAGCATCCTAACAAGTTGATAATAAAAAATTTGTTGCCAACCCCTTAGACATAAAATATTTACTTGAAAAAAGAAAAAGAAAAAAGTTTGATTTTAAGTTAATATTTCAATCATTTCCGGTGAGAGGTGACTAATGTGGAAGTGCAGTGGATAGAGCAAATCAAAACACCGGTCACGAATTAGAAGTACAAAACGAGGATTTGGAAAGAAAAATGTCGGAGGTTTCGATATAAGCCAAGAGGGATACTGGTTTTCCTTTGCTGTAAACAAAACTCGCGAGACTAACATATTCTCGCTGGAGCTTACGCTACACCTACATCCTACATCATCCGCTGGAACGCCACTCTTGTGAACTTGCGTACGACAGTTAGTGGAAGCTAGAGATTAAGTTTTATAAAGTTTTTAATATGGATATTTTTCTTACACAAATGCATCGCTTCGCTTCAGAAGGCCTTTATTTAAAAAAAAAACATTATAACTATATTTTCATGCTTTTTCAAGTAAAGCAAATATTGTCCACTAAAAACATTTCTGGTCATAGACAATGTTGAAGACGTTATTGTCAACATGCCTAAGTGGTAAATAAATAAATAAATAAATAAAACAAAGGTTTATAAAAATGTAGCTATATACATTTTATTTAAATAATAACAAACATCAGGAAAAAATAGGAAACAATACTTTTGTTTTTTGGTTACTTGTGTCGCTTACAATTAAAGTCCTTTTCTGATTTTATTGTTGTTTGCAACGTTACTTGGCAATATTTTAAAGATATTATTATTATTATTATGGTATTTTGCATGGTCTATTATTGGAGTAGTGTCACCCGGGTGGGAGTTTGAACTCCTATTCACTGTGAATAAAAATAAATAAATTTTAAAAAATCATTCAGTCGATGCAGAGACACCTTCTGAATATTACGTATCATAACGTAACTACGTTATTTGGCGGGTTTTACTTGGAAAAGCAGCTGATTTCTAGCATTCGAATAACTATGGATAAACCTGAAACTATAAAAAGGATTGGAGATGAATTTCATTTACAAATAAGGTAGGAATGTGCATACTTTTAAATCGACACCTGCCACGTGTTTTCCTCTTTGAGTGTGTCTAAAAGCGATGGAGGGGGGGGGGTCTTAATCTTATCACTCAGCATACCCGGTTAAAAAAGTCACCGCTCGCCACTGATATATATGTGAGATAAACTGTTCTATTTTTCTATGTATGTGTATTAATATATATATATATATTTTTGCTCGAAATAAACGTAATCAATCAAAAGCATACCGAGCCGAGGAAGAGACACTGTTTCTCAAGCGCTTTCCGCGAGCGCGATTCGAGACGGAGTGAAACACGGACAAATTCGTTTGCCGACACAGTTTTGCTTTGGGCCCCCAGAAGTCTAGGATCGGCACTGCATGTGGAGGTGGAGCACTTCTTATGATGGATTTATGCACTTTATTTTGCTTCAAAATCTCGACCTCCATTCACTGCCATTATAAAGCTTGGAAGAGCCAGGACATTTTTAATATAACTCTGTTTGTATTCATCTGAAAGAAGAAAGGCATATTCACCTAGGATGGCTTCAGGATGAGTAAATCATGGGGTAATTTAAATTTTTTGGTAAACTCTCCCTTTAAGTTAATTTTTCGATAATTTAACAAGACATTTGCATGTTCATGGTTCTCTAATATTGATAATAATTACAATAATAGAAATTATTATAATAATTATTAGTTGTTGTAGTAGTACAGTAGTATGTTTTAACTAATTATAAAAATAAAGACATTACAGTTGTACTGAAAAATAAATAATGAATATTTGATAATCATCCAATGAAATGAGCTGCATCGGACTATACAGCTATTTAATTAAATTGCTGCCTTTGATTTGATTATTGCATTAAGCTATATTGCGATTATCTTGCAGCCACATTTATTTATTTAAATTTTACATTCAATATAATTACTTATTAGCTGTTCGTCAACTCACGAACCCCCTGCAGTTCCCTCGCAAACTTCCAGGGGTTCATAAACCTGCATTTGGGAAACCCTGGACTATATGAAAAACAGCACTAAGCGCTGATTATTCACTCCCCCCACCTACAATTCCTGCCGGTACGAGACTCGAACCCGCAACCTTTGGGTTACGAGTCCGACTCTCTAACCATTAGGCCACGACTTCCCCCGACTTCCCACGTCTAAGTTTAGCCACCTATTCTCTTATCACGCAGAGACAGACTGCACTTTCACAAATGTGTGAGATAATGAATTGCAGATGGCAGGTAAAACAAATGAATCAATCAATGGAGCACAGCAGGAGGAGGTTTCTCTCAATCAGTGACTCTCTTGAGGAAAAAGCTCCTGCTTCTGTTTCACCTAATGTGCAATCTTACTAAGGGCAGCGGAGGGAGGAAGAGGGAGAAAGAGGGAAGAAAATAGACTGAAAGGAGAGAGAGAGAGAATAGAGGATGGGTTTGAGATGGGGATTGGCAGCACGGCTGTAAGATCACTGCCACCAAGTGGAATGTAGATACCTCCGGCACTCTCTGGTATTCTCTCTGGTAAATATAATCCCAGCTCGCCGCTCTAACCTCACAGTGTCCTACTTCCAGCTGTCTGGGATTTAATGCTTCTTAGACCAATAGTGCAATTAACCTATAAATCCCCTCAGCTGTCCAGAAATCTCCCAACAGTGATTCCGTTTTGGCTATGAATGGCAAAGTAAAGTAAAACTGTGTTTTGTTTGGAGTTTGATTAGCTTTTTGGAGATTTGTGGCGTATAATAGCCAATGTCTGTAAGCTTTGCTGGTGTAGTCCTTAAAGTTGACAATACTGACTTTAACAGATAAACAGATTTGATTTTTGTGATATAATCTAAAACGTACTGGCTATTTAAAAAAAAAAAATACATACATAAAAAGAGACAATCCATTTGATATTCCTTGGCCTAATTTCCTGTTTCAACAGGAAATATATCAAATGGACTGAAAACTGTGCATGTCAAGCTATAAAGTGGCCTTTATGATTGAACTCAATGTATTTAAGTTGTTTTCTTATATTTTGTGTAAATAATTTACTGTATCTCATGGGCTGTTGTGTTTTTATTATAAGAATGATGGAAGATTTTAGAAATGTGCCCGATGATTTTCATTTGCATTTCTACCATATAATTATGAGTCATTGCTAATTTTATTTTAATAACATCTGGAGGAATATCATGTCTAGCCTCTTTAAAATAGCTATTGTGTGGGTTTTGTCCCCCCTGAAATTAAGTAGAAGGTTTAATTTATAAGAGTTTAGTTCATGGCACACATTGCAATCCTGGTCTAAAATTAACAAAAAGGGATTTTCAGAGACGTATGACATTCATTAGTGAAAAGCACCACAGGGCTAAGCCAAATCGGAGTCTGCCCCTGGGGGAATTTGCTTTTATGCTACAAGGTCACTGTGTGCCAGGAGTGTCAGTTGGTCTGTACATTAATGAATATTTTAAAATCGCACAATATCATTTTCCTCTGTAATTTCACACAATGGAATTCCAAAGGATTTCAAGACACTATTCTTTTCTGAGTTATGTCTTAAAGGGGTAGACCAACCGAAAATGACAATTCTGTCGTCATTTACATGCTCTCATGTTGTTCCAAACATGTATGACTTTGTCCTTAATTAAATATAAAATGGTTTTGTTTTTGTTTTTTGTTTTTTTAAAGGATATCCTTGCTGAAATTTTCCAATAAAAAAAGTTAAATAAAGATTAAATGGTAAATGGGACTGTGAAGTTCCAAAATTGCTTTTTTCAAATTTCAATTTTAAATGGATGCAGTTCTGTTGAACTTTCTACTGCTGAAAAAAATTATCTAATTTCAAGCAGCACAGCTGTTGCCAACATTGATAATATAATGTTGACATTGACAACTAGAGTAATGGCTGTTAAAAATTTTGATTTGCAATCACAGGAATAAATTACATTTTTAAATATTAAATTAGAATACATTTATTTTAAATTCTAATATTATTTAACAATCTTATTGTTTTTTTACTGTATTTTTACAACAAATGCAGCCTTGGTGACCATTAGAGACTTCTTTCAAAAACATAAAAACAAACATTGACAACTAGAGTAATGGCTGTTAAAAATTTTGATTTGCAATCACAGGAATAAATTACATTTTTAAATATTAAATTAGAATACATTTATTTTAAATTCTAATATTATTTAACAATCTTATTGTTTTTTTACTGTATTTTGACAACAAATGCAGCCTTGGTGACCATTAGAGACTTCTTTCAAAAACATAAAAACACATTTTTCTAAACCCAAACTTTTAAACAGTATTGTAGCACAAAAGTGATATGGAGTACTTTCTGACTCTCTTTTATGGTGCATTTTTTGTCATTTTAAAGCTTGACACACTTTGGTCGTCATTCATGTTCGTTATGCGGAAAAGAGTTGCCACAGTATTCATCAAAAATAATAAAAAGTCATGTCAGTTTGGAATTTCTTGACAAACAATGAACTTATGTGAAAATACTTCTTTTGCCTCATAGGTGTACATGTCCTCATGGCTGGACAGGCCTGGATTGTGGAGAGGATGTGAAGGAATGTTCTTCCTCTCCCTGCCTGAATGGTGCACATTGTGTGGAGTCTGACATCCCAGGGGAGTTTTCCTGCACCTGCCCGCCCTTCTTTACCGGCCTCCTCTGTGAACAGGCATACAACCCCTGTGACCTGCGGCATAACCCCTGCCTGCACAACTCTACCTGCCGTGCCAAGTCAGATGGAACCACCCTCTGTGTTTGCCCAGTCGGTGAGATATAGCATCCCAACTATATCCTACCTACTGACCCACCCACATGCTGGGTGAGATCTGTCATTCTCGGGGATTTATGTTTACACTTCCACAGCTTGTTTAAATTCACTTGCCTTCCACTGAGTTGGTTATTCAGGTAATATTATGCATTTCTTTCTGATTACATCTTTGCTAGATGCTTATTTTAGTGCACAATAAATGGGTTCCTATTGAAAACCTGCAAATATTTTTTAATTGTGACTTCCACTAATGGAAAAGTCATGTTAATAAGTAGAAACATTTTAAAAAGGTGTTGTTAAAATTATTTTTTCTGTTTTTGTTTGAAAAAACGTAATAGCTATTGCTGAATATTGCTCTTTAGAATTTAAAGGGATACTCCACCCCAAAATGAAAATTTTGTCATTAATCACTTACCCCCATGTCGTTCCAAACCCCTAAAAGCTTTGTTCGTCTTCAGAACACAATTTAAGATATTTTGGATGAAAACCGGGAGGCTTGTGACTGTCCGATTGACTGCCAAGTGAATTACACTGTCAAGGTCCAGAAAAGTATGAAAGACATCGTCAGAATAGTACATCTGCCATCAGTGGTTCAATTTGAATTTTATGAAGCTACGAGAATACTTTTTGTACGCAAAGAAAACAAAAATAATGA